GTATAGAATGGAAACCATTTGGTCAACCCCGACAAAAGCGACCCCTTCATAGCGTCGTATTGCATGCGGGAGTAGGCGAGAAAATAGAACAAGATGTTCGCGCTTTCTTACACCGAAGACAGTGGTATGCCGATCGGGGTAAGTACGCGTCCCCACGCGCGACAAACGCTGCTCATGGCACGTCCAGGCATCCCGTATCGGAGAGGATACCTGTTGCACGGACCTCCGGGTTCGGGCAAGACTTCTTATATCCAAGCATTAGCTGGAGCACTCTCATACGATATCTGTTTACTTAACCTCTCCGAACGAGGACTCACAGACGACAAACTGTTCCATCTCTTTTCAAACGCCCCCGACCGCAGTTTCATACTCATCGAGGACGTTGACGCCGCTTTCAACAAACGAGTACAGACAAGTGAAGACGGGTAAGACAGATTTCGGACCTTGTTTTTTTTAGTGCTCCTTACAACGTACCGCCAGATACCAGTCAGCGGTAACATTCTCAGGCTTCCTCAATGCACTCGACGGTGTGGCTTCGGGCGAGGAGCGCATCGTATTCATGACCACTAACCATATCAATAAACTTGACCCCGCTCTGATCAGACCAGGTCGCGTGGATCTCAGAGTACTCGTCGACGACGCATCTCCGTCGCAAGCCCGGACGTTATTTACACGGTTCTACGGTGGTAGTGAAGATATCTCCCAAGAAGAGGTTGCCAGCCTCGCTCGGGAACTCGAGGACCTCACAGCAATTGAGATGCACGACGGACGACGGATCAGTATGGCTGCTCTGCAGGGCCTGTTCATAAGAAACGGTGCTAATGAGGCTGTGGAATCATGTCGAGATCTCTTTGTCAAGAGATAGATGGGTATGCTAGAAATGAACATAGCAACTGACACGATGGCGGTTTCAGAAAGTTGGCTTTCGTCTCCGGCCCGTGTATTTTGAGTCTCGCGGAACACCCTCTTTGCCTCTTTGGCGGTAGAGCTGCAGGTAATGTCACTGCCATGACTTCGGGCGAATGGGGATGTGGCTTGCCTCTTTTTTCTTTAATATCCAAACTTTGTCTTGCACTGCCTTTCTCTTCCGGCTGCGGTCTCGTTTCTTTTCCTTTTCACGTCTCCTTTCAAATCGCGCATGAGCATCCTCTTCCCCTTCCAAACCCTTGGGCAGTTGCTGACCACCACCACTGCCGACAAATAGACACAGGAAGACCTTTTTTGCTTTCTTTGAATTTGGATAATCGACGACCATGCCGCCACCAAAACCAGCTTTTTGAGCTACCGAGGTGATGAGCTGTATTTGGTCATCCGATGATGGGTAGAACTGGAAAACGGCGCGGGATGGATTTCTTAGAGCCGAATACAAGGTAGTGAAGAAACGGTTCAGGCGATGTGGGGGCGATGATGTTGGGTGTGAAGTCTCGGCATTGAGTAACCACTGCAAAACAGAAATGCTGCCAGAAAAACATCTCTGCGGGTGTGCAATATAAAGTTTACAAAAAGTGACCGCACCTTATTGCGCCGTCAAAGCTCCCTGGGCGGAAGCCGAATCCTTGGCCGATGTCTTGCAAGAACAGATCACCGTCGACCTCCCTCTCCAAGGCAACCTCTGATACACAGCCTAAGGCAGGACGCGACGGTGAGTGACGACCCACTCACGAAGCATGCTGGGTGCAATATCAACGCCGGCCCATATGTATCCCTCCTCGTCCAATATCTCTCCAGATAATCCAGAACCACAGCCAATGTCCAACAGGAACGCAGGCTGACTTGGCGGCATATTTAGTAATTCGAGGGCTCTGTATGTCATATCTGCTTGAATCTGCTGATTTCGGGTGCTTGTACAAGGTCAGGAGGCTGATTAGGATAATGTGTCGAGACCCGCCCACTTTGTAGTGTACTTTTTCGCTTCGGTATCGCCATAATACTGCAAAAGACGTTATTCAATAGATCCCCCGACAGATACAAATGTACTTGCGATTTCGGGGGGTGCTTGAAGCTCTGGGCGTGACATTTTAGCAGACGAGGTGGGACGGCGAGGACAGCAGCAGGCCGATCAGTGTAGATGTCGTCACGTGATCCATATTAGGACGTCCTTGAGGTTGTTCATTAGCATCGCCAACGATGGCGACGCCGAGCAAGCAATACAAGGCCATCGGGGAGGACCTCTGGAAGAGCCGGACAGAGAAAGTTGTGAGTGTTCTTACGACTTGGCGATTGGTAGAGACCCTGACTAACTCTCAGATCAGAATGCAGAGTTGTTCGCGTTGACATATGGCGCGCTTGTCGTGCAGCTGATCCAAGACTACGAAGACTACGGGGAAGTGAATAAGCAATTAGAGAAAATGGGATATAATATCGGGACCAGGCTAATCGAGGATTTTTTGGCGAGGAGTTCTGTAGGGCGGTGTTCTGATTTCCGTGAGGTCGGGGAAGTAGTGGCTAAGGCGAGTAGACTCGGGTCGTCATTGCAGACATGCTCATACGGTACAAAGGTCGGCTTCAAGTCATTTCTGAATATCACTCCAACGGTGACCCATCTACCACCGCCAACATCGAGACCAAGTAGCGTCCAACAGCAAACTAGCATACCAACGTCATCCTTCACACTTACCTTGGACGAGAACCCATTAGCGGAGTTTGTCGAGCTCCCGGAGGAAGCACTTGAGGGTGGTTTGTGGTTTAGCAACGTCCTGTGTGGGGTACTGAGAGGGGCACTGGAAATGGTATTGCTTCGCGCGTTGGTATTGTCGACGTTCTGTTCATCGGTTTTCGCAGGTGCAAATGCAAGTGCAAGCAGAGTTTTTGTCGGACGTACTACGCGGCGACGAGACTACGGAAATACGCGTCACTCTGTTGAAATATCTCGAGGAGGAAATGCCGATGGGAGATGAGTAAGAATTTAAATTGTATGTTCTAGCGTTGTATTTCTATCATGCCGGTGGGGAGCCGCCAACGAAACATTAGCTTCCTCCTGGATCCATCGAAAGCAGTAGAATTGCAAGAGCGTAAGGTTACTGTAAGCCAACTCTCAGCCAAAGCGGTTGACCCTGTTGAGCTTCTTCGCCGTCTTCGCATTGGACTGTGTATTCTGTCCTCTGACGGGCAGACCCATCGCATGCCTCTTCCCAACATAACTCCCGATCATCCTCTGGTGTGCAATATTCTCCCTAACAACTCTTCTTCCCTCAGCTTCTATCTTCAAGTTTCTGAGAGGTTCAGCGCCAGCGGGCTTGGAGAGTTCGGTGACACGCTTCCGAAGCACTTCTATCGGTGTTGAGGCGGGTGGTGGTTGGAAAGTCGGGCTGGCGAGAGGCATGCGGCGGAGTGGCTGCGCGGTAGAAGGAGAGGCAAGGAAGGAGGCGAGCTCAGTTATTTGCTGGGCTGTCAGGTCTCGGATTTTGCAACTGTCATGGATTTGCAGGCGAGCGCAGAGACGCTGGGCTGTTTTATGCCCGACGCCATAAAAGTTGGTCAGGGCAAGCTAAGACGCTGTCAGTCTAGTGATACGTTGACTTCGTAGCCGCACGTACCCTTGCCAGCTGCAGGTCAGGTAGGGCGACGCCCAGGACGTGGACCATGTTGGTCGGTGTGAAGACTCGATCATTCCGCTAAAGGCAACTACACTTTTTCACCGTAACCACGACAGTTCTCAGAAATTAGTGCTGTCAGTATACATGTCTGCCGACAAAGGCGAAGGTCGTCGCGAGGATGCATTCGTCAAGCAGCGCATGCAGAATCGCGAAGAATATGAACGGCAGAAGCAGAAGCTCATCAGCGAAACCGAAAAGTCTCGTCCCTCAGCCAACAAGTTCGTGGGCCAGAATGATTCAATGGAGGATACCCTCAAGAATAGCACCGTTGGCCTCGTACGCTTAGAGGACTTCCAACAAAGAAGGAAGGAAATCGAAGAAGCAAAGGCACGCGAGGCGGCACGCACAAGTGAGCTCAAGTAAGTCGCAATTCAACTACAGCTCAGGCGTATTATACGTGAAGAAAGGTAGCTGATGGTTCGTGGAGTATTTGTTTAGAGAGGAAACAAAGAAAGTGAAGAAACGTAAAAAGCCCAAGTCGACATTGTCATTTGCCATTGACGACGAGGAAGGTGACGGTGAGATTTCCTCCAGGCAGACGCCCGACACGGAGAACGGAGAGTCTGCTCCTAAACGTGCCAAGTTTCGGAAGAATCCAGACGTGGACACGTCATTTCTCCCTGACCGTGAGCGGGAAGAAGCCGAAAGAAAGGAGAGGGAGCGACTACGACAGGAATGGCTGCGAATGCAAGAAGAGCTTAAGATGGAGGACATTGAAATCACCTACTCATACTGGGATGGAAGTGGGCACAGGAAGTCCGTGGTGGTATGTATATCCCTGTCGTTTCCATCCGCTCACTTTGGATAATTGCATTCTAGTGCAAGAAGGGCGATACGATCGCCAACTTCTTGGAGAAATGTCGCCAACAATTTCCGGAGCTGAGGGGCGTCAGTGTTGATAACCTTATGTATGTCAAGGTGAGCTGTAGTCTCTTTCGTGTATAGGGTATCGCTCAAATTCCTTTCATAATTGAAGGAGGACCTCATAATACCTAACGTATGTATCTCAAATTGCATTTTTGGGAAAGCTCTCATCGTTTGTGCAGCACTATACGTTTTATGACTTCATCATCAACAAAGCTCGGGGAAAATCAGGACCACTATTCAATTTCGACGTCCATGACGATGTCCGGTTACTCTCTGATGCAACGATGGAGAAGGACGAGTCGCACGCGGGGAAAGTTGTTGAGAGAGGCTGGTACCAAAGGAACAAGCATATTTTCCCGGCATCGCGATGGGAGGTAAGATATGACATGTCCATGAAATTTGCTCCTTCTCATTGCTGTTTAATGACCAGCTATATGATCCGAAGAAGGACTATGGGAAGTACACTATCCACTGACTGCTCTATGTACATATTGCAGCAGTGATCAATTACAGTGTTAAAAAAATAGAAAAGGAAAGTGCCAGGACCGTGGATTGAACACGGGACCTCCAGAAAGCCAATTGCAACTTCAGTCTGTTGCTCTCCCAGCTGAGCTATCCCGGCAGTATTCAATGAGATCCATCAGACCATTTTGAAGGTGGCTTGCCTTGTATAGAGCATATCCTAAACAACAGAGGATGTATCTTCACTAGCAGTGGGAGATTCATTAAGAGCCAGGGAGAGACTGACTCTGTCTGTTTCAATGTGTTCACTGACCAGTAGCAAGTGTGAACATCTGGGACGGTGGAAGGTCTTTGGAGCTTCTACATGAAGCAACTTCCCGACTAAATTGTAATGTCCTTCGGTTCCAAGTGGTTTCATCTGCAGCTGCGTTACATCATAGATTGATATGGTTGTTAAGAATTTGTATATGATCGACTCAACTGAAAACGCGCCGGCGGATTCTTCGGCTTGATGAACTGCATTCACTGCCTTTCGAACCCCTTGTGTAATTGATTCTTGAAGACAATTGCGCACTGTGCGTTACAAAACCTCCCGGCCTGTTATGGCGTCTCTTCGGAAGCACTGACGTCACCTCAGCTTATAGATGGTATTGACTTCAGGCTGTCAACTAGTACGATGTGTGCGCTTCCCGTGTACGTTTTGGAAGACCAGATCCGTCGTCTCAAGTGGTACCCTGCGCAAAGTAGTAATTTTTCCTCGCACACCTGGGCAGTGGTGAAGGTACGCCGTGGATGGCAGATATTCATTACATATACATACGGTATGTCTTCGCTTGTATTGTACTGTGACGATGTCAAGGAAGCCTAGAGGTTATTTTCGTGCATGAGAAGTTGGTTGCTGTAATAAAGTTAATCAACGTGCGGTGGCGGTGGTCCTAGAAGATGCATGTTTACGCTCCGTAGGGCTCATTCCGAGCTATCGAATGGGTCGAAAGCCTTTCAGAAATCAAGAAATTCACATATGAGGTTCCCGAACAACCATTGTCACTTCGACACTTACCTTGGTGAAGGTGGTGCGGTATCGCGAAGGGGTCAGTATAAGCCGTCAATGTATTGTGACGTGAGGTCGAAGAAAGTCCACAGAAGTCCGTGCGTGGTAATACTTCGCACTGCGCTAACACCAAGACCACGGTAAATCCGTGCTATGCCAGCCAGCATTGGCTTTGGATCGTTAGGATCCGGGCCTACACAGGACTTAAAAACGGTAAGTAGCCAGATATAGATGTTGTCCTACCTCGAACGAGGCGATGAAAGGTTTCCCGTACTCCTCTCGGAGGAGTACCAGCCAACGCACGTTGCTGGACTTTCGTCTTCACACTACAGGTAAGCTGCTTAACGGATCGACGACATAGGAGCTCGCACAGACTCACACATCAAGTGGATAGATTAAAGCCCAAGATGTGACGCCAGCGAATGAACCGCAGATAAAGGGAATTAAGGAAACGGGTATGGGTAGCCAATGAGGTGTTGGACCCTGCTCTCCAGAACGCTGCCGACCCAGTAAGTGTCTCATTGCGTCATACTCGAAGAAATACAATGCAGTTCCGGACGTGTCTCGCACTGAGAAAGAGGTAAACGGCCGGTCGGGTGGAAAATGGAAACCGGAACTTACGAAAGTGCAGCCGGAAACCGAGGTAAAGACCAGATTTGCCATGTGTCCTGACTATGTCACGAACTGCTTCGATGGTGTTTGGCGGTTTGATTAGTTGGATACCTTTCGTTGCGGCGATGCTATACTCCAGTTGCCGGCGAACCTTTTACAAAACCAATTGGGACGAAGCTCGTGAATTGGCAAGCGTTGAAAACCTACCTTCACGAGTTCAAATGCTGCAGACGAGGATAGGTAAATATCCACGATTGAAATGAGCGAAGATGCCAACTCACGTGCGCTCCCGAAGGAGATCAACGAACCCGACAGGGCACCACTTATACCGCCAGCTAGGGCTGCATCGTACATGTTGTCACCAGTGAAATAGTTCTTCCTGCAACAGTACTCCTTTGTGTCGCTGTAAATCGTGAAGGAGGCGGTACCTAAACAAACGGTTGACGGAAATATGAACGTGACTGAAACGAACAACTCACGAACGAAGGATATCGTCACAAGAGGGATCCAGAGTCCCCTATAAAAACCAACTAGGCCCTCCTCGCGGTATACAAGCCCCGCTAATTTTAACAGGGATATCCGCGTTTTAGTGGTCTGCAATCGCGACTTCAAGGAATCAAGCTGTCCAAATATCATCGCATCGAATGGCAAACTAAAGTAAGAAATGGGCGTCTCACCGGGTACCCTGCGAATGTAGATATGTAGCTCGCTGAGAGTGCGCATACTACGGACTTATTTCCTGTGTGCTGCCCTCAGAAGTTCTCCATAGTTTGAGAATCTTTTAAACCATACGTCGCAAAGTATCATTAAACGCTATGTTGTCGAACCAAGGATTTGGGGGCGTACTGCTGGATGTTTGAGCGCCGAGGGGTACACTCGGACGTGAATGCCATTTCATCGCACCTAACACTGTCCATGGAGCCTTCTTCGCTGGACCAGCCACAAATCCCGGTTCCGTGCGATACACGTCGACGATAAGGACTTGCCGGACGATGTTGTAGGCGCGGGTTTTGTGACTTTGACGGAACCAGGAAGAAGAGCTGAAGAAAGACAGGCTGCGCTCGTGCAAGTTGTCTTGGGATCGACTCAGGTAAGGCTATATAATTCAGGGACCGACAGCCGGTGTAATAATAACAAGTACATGGTACAGTCTCGACTAATAGGTACAGCCTACATTGTGGCAAGTCATCCGTATATCGTATGGAGTTTTCGAAAGATCAAAACCCGCCGATCCGCTTCTTGGTGGGTTTCCTCCCCACCGTTAACCGCCCGCCGTATGGCCCTGGGAGAACTTGTGTACTAGTCATGGGGTCCTGCGAAAATGTATCAAATGTATGGTAAAACGTCTCTTGAGAATAACTCTGTTTCGCAGTATGGGTAGCCTGCGTGCCGGTTACTTCCCACTGTGGTCGTACTCCGGAACGCGTTCCGGTGGCTGCCACAATAGCTGGGGGACGTTGTGATGGCACCACGGTGCTTTGTGTAGGCAGAGGAGTGCGAAGTGCCTGTTTTCGCCTAGGGCCGGAAGCATGGTCGACTTCCGTGGCGTTATACGGGTCGCGGTATGTATAGTTCTTGACGTCGGATCCTACCTCCCAATCAGCCAGTAAAAGCCGCACTCCCGTCGGACAAGAGACCTTGGTATCTTCTTCACTGAGCATCGGGTTAGTCTCCTCCGCAATCTTGTAATGGTTGGCGCCAATCCTGCGAAGAGGGTGAAAGAAACTGAATTCGACGTCGGGCGGCTCGTCCGTGATTCCATTGCGCCTTTTTTCTTCCGAAACTGTTCCAAATTCACTTTCTGTGGATCGGGGCTTGGTAATAGGACGAGGTGAGAACGCATCACATGATAACGCTAAATCGATGACGAGCTGCTCCCGTGCTTCGGTTTGTCGCTGCAGAGAAATTTCGGTACCCTCTCTGTTTGATTCCAACTGCAACTTTTTCAGGTGCTCTGTGAATGTTGACCAGTCATCAGAGATATCATAAGGTAGGCGGTGGATTGATCTGAGAATGTTGTAGCTCCATGGGGTGAGACTGGCTAGTTCCTTGACGGGTATATCGCCTCTTGCAACTGCTTGGTAGGCTTCTTTGCCGTTCATAGCACGTCCTGTGAAAAAATTCGCCGGAACCTTTGACTTATCTGCAGTATAAGCAGCTAGGTCGAACCTGGAAGTAGCATAATTAGTGAATCACTCGATGAGCGGGAAAATAATCCACGTTGTTAGAATAGATTCCGGAAGCTCTTCCATCTGCTGCCAGAAACCGGCAAGCTGTGTGAGCGTGTCGCAGAAGGCTTCGCCGGAACCATCATCGTCTTCGGCGAATATTCCTACAAACCATCGAGTCAATCTTAGCTGTACTTTTCAGAGAAAGGTACCAACTTTCGTAAATGCCACGGAAGTTAACCTCTGTAAAGTGCCTTCCCCCGACGGGACCTGCGTCAGGGTGCAGATCTCTTGCTTGCTGGTCTAACTTGTCGACATCTGCATCCCACTCCCGAACAACACGATTTCCCTCCGTGAAAGTTGGAATCTCGTCGCCAGTGGCAATGTGGATGTCTTGCTGATAAATGCTACCTTGATGAGTCAACCGAAGGAACGACATCTTAGACATGCAAGGAGACGCGACGGCGGTATATCCGGTATATGCCGTGTACAGTGGTTTGTCCCAGGGCAGACAAGAAGGTGGAGAGTTGGAGTGTACCAGGTTATCTGTGCCTCTGCTGACGTCATAGACAGTAACTAGACCATTTTTCCGGGAAGTTAACAAAACGAGAGGACCTGCACGCTGTACCATCAGTCGTGTAACCTTGCTGTGATATTAAGAGGCTGACCGAAGCCGAGTTGAATGGTGAGCGTTTTGAGTGTCCTATCATAACTTCTGTGGTGCTTAAAGCTTAAAATCGGCTTTCTAGAAAAACGGTCATCAAGCCAAATAACATCGGAAGAGGTTGTGACGCGGCTGAGGTTGTCCTGCCCTGGTGTCTCGTAGCAGGTCACTACAGTTCCAGGCTTATTAGGAAAGTAAACGACTCGGGCTGTGTTGCTCGCCTGTGAAGCACATGTAAGCTATCAGTCCGTCCTTTGACCATTTGAGCATACCCTAAAATCCAGGTACTTTACGCTGGTGCTGGAAGTAAGAAAGCACCCGTCCTTGTTGCCCGCTACACCTAGTTGCCAGAAATTGTCTGCCAGGTTAAATTGGCTGTCCCCGACGGCAGCTCTGCTACCCTCGATTAGTTGCCTGTGAAAGAAATGAGAGATAGTGATGGTCCAGGATGGAGATGTGACGCACGTGGCCTTTCCGGCTGCGTATATATTAGACTTGTAAACATGTCCAAGGCGGTTGACCGATATTATATCCAGCCCCGTCCCTAGAATACGAGAATCTACTATGGGAATGTCCCCAGCGTAGGAACGAGTAAGTTGAATATCGCTTGTGACTTGCGAGCATGAAATATCTTTGGCAGAGGAGAGCTTGATTAGTGAAACCGA